AAACGACTCGTCCTTTACCGCAGGTTTTCAATTACCCAGCGCGTCACAGCTCAACATTTTCCAACATCACTTGCATCACTTCCCCAAACAAAAATAAAATAAAATCACATTTATAATTCTCGATGTTCCCAGCCGTAATTGAAGAGGTAACTCATATCTGTCCTTCTGAGTCAGCAGGCGATTACCATACGCAGTATTTTCTATTGGGCTAACAAAAAACCTGACGTCGCTTGCGTATAGTAAACATACAGTTTAGCGTTACGATTGCTACTGGCTATTTGTTTCTTAGCTAGCTCCCGTCCTTTAACCATTCCCCTCTACTGCGTGGTTAGTGCCTCGTCAAAACTAGAACAAAAGCTTCGTTTGTATGTCAGCTTCCCTTCTGCAAATTATCTGCGGACGAGAAAATTGTGCCATTAAACTTAAAGGCTAAAAGACTGGCTTGGTGTTCCGAACCGACTCAAGCGCCTCGAGTTTCGATCGCCTCGCCCTGTTATCACATATACGTATAAACTAGACTTATAAATTCCATCTTAGACTGTAACATGGTAAAGCTCGTCTACTAATATTTCTTTTGACCTGTTATTTTTTGTGCTTCTCTCCGTTATGCTTGTCGTTCGAATCTGCCTCATCGTTGGCAATACGGGCAATTGATTCTGCATCAGCTATGGCTAACTCATGAGTCTCTGCAGGTTTCGCTCTTCCATCGCCGGTAAAGTGGAGGAAGTGCTTACGTTGGCTTGTCAACACGCTGACCATCAGGTTATTGTTAGGTGCTAGGAGCATGTCTGCGGTATGACTTTGTGCAAGGATAAAGCTATAGAACGTTATAATGGTTGTGACCTAGTAAGCCAAGAGCATCCATGCTTTTGGTCTACGTTTTCAAGAAAGTAGCGTTATGCGCATCTGCAGGCTCGATGTCCATATCCTATACGATTGGATCCTACATGAGCCGTTTAGTATAGGTGAAGAACACGCTGGCTTGTTTAAATCTGTTTTTCATTCACAGGAAGCAACTCATCAAGATTTGGAGTTGCGCGGGGAAAAGAGGCTGTTCTCCTCTCTTACACAAAATTAGCTGGAAATCGGAATTCCGTAACATTTAGGAAGTTTTTACGTGCAATAGAAATTCATTAATAATTACGAAACTTTTTTAAAAGTTTCAACGATTTATGCCCCATTCATTCAAAAAAGGATTGCTTTATTTGCATTATTTTCGTCAAAAGAGCGTGTGTGTCTACGTATACTTTCCTTGGCCTTACTTTTACACTGCCAGGAATGGCTAGTTTAGTCCCGTCCCATTTGGATGTATGAGGAGAAAATCAAAGCAACACTATAAGCGCGAGATATTTGTACACACTATTTACGATTATTTATTTTACATCATCTAAGATTGTCTCTGCTATTCACTGTTCGTCAGGGAGAGGGAAGGCAATAATAATAGCTACAATCTATAAAAAAAAAACACGTTAGAATACTTACATAACGCGTATAAACAAAACAACATTACAGCCCCGCTAATACGTTCCGACAAATAGATATATTTTCGTATAATCGAAACTTCACGTCACTGTGGTTTGTCGTGTGTTCGAAATTTAGCCTCCGAAAAAAAAACACTCTAAACAGACGAGAAGTCGCCCTTTACAGATTTATATATCTGCTTCCGTTCCCTTCATAACAGTATTAAAGTCGTCTCTGCTGCAATGAATAGGCGAACACCCACGAGTCGATCGACAACCAAGTTTGGATGTCCACGCAGTAACGCGCGAACCTTTGTTCTCATTGAGGGTCGTACTCGACGACCTTTGAGATCGAGTCGCAGGGCGGGTGAAAATTATCCAGCACGACCTAATTGCTTGCTAAGAATAGTTGACTGTTAGAGGGCAAAGTCCATAACGGCGCTCGACCTCCGTCACTGGTGCTATGTGTAACAAACTGATTTTTCACAGGTCTGCCGTCATTCGTTGAACGATGCGTGCGATGGCGTTTTACTTGTTAAGATTGTGTCGCCAAATAATATATATATATGTATATCGAAAAAACACTGGCTTAGCTTTGTCGCCGGTTCTAGTGGTTCATAGCCACTTCTGCTACGGTTAGTTAAGCATACACGTGTATTTGTTTACCATATAATATACTCATTGCGACTCAACCACGTTCCTCCGATGGGATGTCCTTTTTTCATGACCAGACGATACTGCCCGGGGATGTTTAATATCAGATTGCACAATTTAGACTTCGTAATCTCTCGATGCGTATCAGATGCGATTCCATTGTTTTGAAAACTGACAAATGAGTCGCATAATCTTCGGCCTTCGATGTCATCGGGGGTGGTTTGCATAAGCTTGCAAGAGTAGACCCATAGACTCAGCAAGGTCTCCCATTGTACTCATGTAAATTCAGTTGTCGTAGTAATAACCGTAGCGATTAGGGTTGTTTTCCCTGTCCAATAGGAATGATGCTTACATTCCCTTGGCGGCGAGTTCGCAGATCAGTTGGCAATAGAGAGCGAAGTACTTTGTTTTCAAATTAACATGAGTCGTACGGACGTGCGCTAGCCCAGATCCCTCTGTCCGAAAAATAACATAATAGTACGAACCGAACAGTTCCCTCAATGTTTGAATAACCCCTATAACGTTCAGTAAACACCAAGACTTTGGCTGCACTCGGAAGTACGACTCGTAACTTCTTTGAGATAGGAGGATAGAGGATGCCTCGTACAGTTAAAAAGCTATCTACTTTCATACATTCTTATAGCACTGATCACCGGTGCCCACCGATGGCTCACTAGCTGCTACGCCCTGAAATTGGTACCGTGCAGGAAATTGAGGTAATCGAGTTGATGGACTAAGCGGTAGTGGCTCGGACTGCACTTTTGTGGTCGAGCTTGACGGTGTTCACATACTACCAAACACTAGCATAGTTTGCTTGGGTCACTCCCACCAAGTGCCAAGGACACACACAGCGTCTGGACTAATTCGGCATACCAGGCCACCTTTCCAGGCTCAGAAAAATAACGAAACGTGCAAATCCTGCCGCTTCCCGAATGCGGCGAAGAACATACTAAATATGCAGAAGCCATACGTTCTGCACTTACACAGGCGTAAACGTGTATTTGTTTACGAATAGTCCGTTCATTACGATATATTCGTATAGTATATATATCCGCGTGAGCCAAAGCCGAGCGGTGGTGAGCTATAGATGATTTTTGGTAAAACGTGAAAGACTCGTATATAAAATAGCAAGTAGATAGTCCTTCACGTATTAAGCTACACGGAGCAATCGTAGTCTAAATTGCAGTAACACGCACATTTTATAAAGTAGTCTTTTGTCCATTTTTAAGTGTGTTCCCGTTTCCTCCCAGCCAACCAAGCCATTACTTTAACATAGGCCAAACCCACGCGCATGTTCCAGAAATCCAGCGTCGACCCAGTAATATACCAAGTTGTTACGTTACTATTGTTTCAGCTGGCAGAACAGCTGCATATTTCATTTTGATCGGGGTTTTTTCGATTTTTTTTGATTTTTTCGCGACTTGCTCCATTTGTCCACTCGAACTAGCAGTGAGATTTCACAGCATGAAGAAAACCTCTATTTCTGGAGCCAACACTGATCGAACATTAAGATTACAGGGCAGTCTGTTTAATACGGGATCGTTTTTTAAGATAGATTTTTTGCCGAATCTTTACCGCCCCGATGGCCCTCATTTAATAGATAAACGTAGCACAAAAGTACAATTTACCTTAGCCTGAGCTATCCAGTTAATAACAATAAGACCAGAGACAAACGTCGAAAATATCTATATGAAGAAGATGATCAAGGACCTGTACTGAGTGCAGCTATTTTGAGCTTTCATTGAACAGATTCGACGTAAACAATGTCGTTAGTATTCGGGAAGAAACTGTTGACCCTTTTCTTGTCTGTGCTACAATCGGAATGGCATTAGTACGATAATATATTTGTTTTATTGTTGGAAACATATCCCTCTGAGGTTTGCACAATGAGTTCCTTTTATCCGTTTTACCTGAAAGATGTATTTGTTTTTCATTAAGATAATGTCTACATAATCTATCGCATTAAATTTACAGCGATAGAATGGCAATCTAAATTAGGTAGTTCGTGGCAAGTGATAAGTATTTAGTTATTAGGGAGCTTAGCTTTCTTTTTAATCAGCGTAAACCAGCGCAGTCAAGTAACCTGATGTAGAAAACTGGTGCGATTATTTTAAAATAACATTGTCTTTTCTAAATCACTCTTCCATAGTATTGCACGTCTTTGTTGTTTACGATGTGGTTAATTAATTAAGCAGTTTATTCTAATCGTAAGGTTTCAACCTTGTCTGCGGGTATTTTTTTACACCATAGGTAGTCTTCGTATTCAAATAACTGTCCATGCGTGCACCCTCGGCGGAGCCTAAACTCACGTAAACTACCATCACAATTATGCCTGTCGATTATCTTGACACTTGGTTGGCCAACGTGCCAAATCGCACGTCAACAGAGCGCTAGCTTTCGGTTTTACGAACTACTACGGCGACTTATCAGCGTATAACATCGATATTGATGATAGCGCCATCTGGCGCAGCAACGTATTTTTCTCACGTATCTTTTATATTACACATAATACAACACTCTGATCGACTTTATACAATTGTAGCTCCGTAAACATGTTCGGGATGTTTATAGGTCGTTTGTCAAATTCCAATACGACTTTCAGCGCGGATGAATTAGAGATGGCACGTCAAATCGTCTATATCGTAATATCCATATAAATGTTGTTCTTTGCATAATCCTGTTTCTTTTTTTTTCTTCAAACGATTCGTGTAGCGAACGAAATAATCAGTGTATCTGTTATTGCAGTTGCACGATTTTCGTTGTAGATAGTATAATGCACTGCGCAATGACGATCGGGTGAATGTTTACAGCATTATTTAGTACAGTAGACCTACGCACATTAGAGAAGTGAATGCGGTAAGTAAACCTGAATGATTTTTGACTTACCATTCTCGTCAAAGCGAATTTCATGGATTGAGATCGTCCTACCAAACTCTTTATCGTGATGTGGTTGAGCTTGTGTTAGTACACGTATAACCAGGGCTCATTATAGTATCTGCCATTTGCGTGGTACAAATGGCGGGAAAACTGTTTGTTCAGTGCTGCTATTTACCCAACGCATCGTACTCGTGCGATTTAGTTTACCAGACAGGCCGCAAAGGCAAACACAGAGTGGAAATGGCTGTTGGCTATCTCTTAGTACGTGTGTCTGTCTGGATGTAAGCCACATGCTATTATTGTTGTCATACGTCGGTTCCGTTCTGCGTGTCGCGAATCTGTAGATAGGTCATTTTCACTTACACAGATTGGTCAAAAACTAAGCTTTTTAAGGGCGACGCCGTATATAATGTTATTCTTATTATTACAATTATGTATGATCAATAAGTTTCATAGCTATTTCTTTCGGCGGCATTCCAGTAACTGCTGAGATTACTCCAGATTATTAACATCTTTCCTCAAAAAGGGTGACGATATTTATTATTGGCAGTTTAGTTAGAGCGAGTGCTTTTACTCCTAATTCAAGTCTGAAGAATCTAGTGTACAAGATAGTTAGGCACAAGGCACAAAATTATGTGAAATAAAAAATTTAAATTTATTTGTATTTATGAAATAGTAATACAGACTGTCTCTTAAAATATTTAATTCACCATTATTTTTTCTCATTAGACAAACTAGATTTCCTTTGCGCAAATAAACTTTAGACTTCTTGAAGGATTGATAATAAACTAGACGATTGAATAGGATTTGTCTTAAAATGCCACGCGTCGGTCTTGCCTTTCCCTGATTAGCCAACTAAAAAAACAAGCGAAATATCTCTCATATCACGCAATCTTCACAATGTGTCGTGATAATAATAATAATAATGGCTGTTAGTTTTGTTGTTAAATTCAGCTAGGTTACCGAGTACAACAATGTATACATAGAGTTGAACGCAAGTTATGAGGCTTAAATTCGCGACAACAACGTTGCCGGCTCGGCAGTCCCTCTGCTTTTATTTGAAGCAAGCAACGTGCCGCATTTTATTGCACGTATCTTTCTACGTCTTGTACATATTGACACAAAAACTTCGAAACTTCTCCAATCCAAAGAAAACGTGTAAAAACCGTACATGCACAACTTTCGGTATGCCGTATACATACGAGTCTATCACCAACAAGGCTGCGGACTTAGCATTCACAAGATTTGTTGCTTAGAAAGCAATGCGGATTTTTAAGGTGTGACCTGACGGAATACACGCCGCAATAGTTTCAGCAAATCAGATATGCTCTTGAAATCATACCATACCCGAACATAGATAAATACGAAAATTATGCTTAGGACCTTGTTTGATAACTGTCTAAAAGCCATACTATTGATGATGTATTTCTACAAACCCTAGAGTTTCAAATATTAATTCAAAATTTAATTAATTAAACACAGTGGACAAAATCAGTTGATTCTAAAGAACATCAAAGCATTACTATCGTGCAGCATTTATTTCTAAGCCTCGTTTATTTCGTTAAAAACAAACTGAACCAAGCGCCGCTAACCGAGTATAGGAAACACGCTCAACATGAGGTTAGCCCAGCAGTAGGCTACCTAGCTACAACTCTAATTGACGTTTGAATTTGCTTACCCTGAAGCTCATTTGATAACCGAGGTAACCAAAATAAACAGTACCAACATTGGAGGTCATTTTTTTAAGGCTTCGGAACAAAAATCAGAAAACATCTCACGGGCTTCATTGATGTTGACCTGTTTTTTAGCATATGATAAAATAAATGCCTCTATTTGTTCAACCTTGGAAACAGCTGAGCTGCTAGTGGCTAGATACATAAGGATAAGTTCTTGTGAATAGCTGAGGATGTATAAGGACGATGTTTGACGGCTAATTTGACCGTGAGCAAGTCTTGTACAAGCAAGAATACTATATAACAAAAATATTCACTCTAGTCTTTAGGGATAAACGGCTGTTACAAGCTGGCGTTTACAACGATTTTGATTATCTACAGCGTTTAAGGTATCAATTCGTAAATGCGTAGCTACATTTTATATTTATACTAGATGGAAAGAAATTTTGGTAAAACAGTCACATATAATAACTATTTTATTTGATATTCACAGTATCGCCGATATGATCCTAATAACATAGACAATATATTGGCCCTTTTTTTTCATATTCCTGGTGCACTGATCGTAATCTAAGACGTAATATTAGCTGTTGTTGTAAAATAGCGGATTTAATGCGACAGGCAGTGGCGACCTTTAAGCAGCCTTTTCATAAGAACCAAACGGCCTCCTTTGGTCTTGAGGCGGGCCTGATAGCTGAAATTATAATTCGAAGTTAAGGAGACGATCACATCAGATATTAGGTGATAATAGGTACCATGAATAGAAATTTAGAGCAATAAATCGCCATGAGCAAAAATATTTAATAAGATCCTCGTGGTTGACATATAATGCTGCATTGTGTAACTTGAACCGATAAAACATTTTACCATATACCTATCATAGACTATCATAACAGACTAATTATATATATATATATATATATATATATATATATATATATATATATAAAGGTAACTAGATGTCTGCAAGGAATGACACTACCTTAGTAATAATTTTGAAATTCGATATTTACAGCCATTAGTGAGTCGTAACTACCAATAGGATTCAGGCCCCACCCGTATCTTTTAATCCGAATTGTGTTTGATGGTCGTGCGAAAAATTTCCGCATAATCCCGCGGACTTGAGTTGCGTGGAGACCATTGATGACTGGGTGTGCGCAAGGCACCAGAACAGGCGTTCCTACAGATGATCGGAAGTGACCGAAAAAGGAAGACAGCACCGTAGAACCAAACTTTGAAAATATTGACTGCATCGTGTCCTGGAGTGGGATCACAAGCTGAAACTGAAAAATGTTCCAATGATTAATTATTGATCGTGCAAATTCCAGGAACGTTTCTTCGTCTTAATATAGGCTCAGCAGCACATGGAAACGAATGGGTGATCGACACAGTTGAAGATACTGAGGTTGTTCTGTTAATTATGATAATGAAACACCAACTTTTCTTCTAATTACTAATCGATTTTCTTAGAAATGGTTAAAATGATGCGGGATATGATTCTTTTTTTCTCATTTTAACTACGATGTTTGGAACAAGAGTCAACTGCTCATCATAGAAAAGGGTATAACACAATATATTTTTACGTTTCTCTTTGTTCGATTCGTAGTCTTGCCAAACTAAACCATGATCATATCATCTAGGCAGGACATATTGCTATGCGCATGGAAACTGCTTCTAGATCTATAACTGCCTTTTTTACTTCCAAAGTTTACCCCATACCGAGCAAAAGAATAGGCATACCGACGCTAGTTATATATGTGCTGCTTTATATAATATCATGGCCACAATATGGAATGACAGGTGTACTACTGATGTCAAGGGTGCGGTTTTTTATTTTCTACACAAATAGAACGTTGGTTTGGTGCGAAGGTCCTCGAAATTAATACCAAGCAGGTCATACAAATGGCTATTAAGTCTTAGTCGCACAGATTAGATAGATTCTTATGCATCTGCAAACAATTCAGTCTCGGTTCCCTGGCAAACCAAAACGATGCTCTTTTCTTTCCAAACTAGAGACTAATCTTCGCAATCAATTTAATTGAAATGATAACTATTCTAGTACGTTTGTTTACAGTTCCAGAACTTATATCAACAAACTAAGTGAACTTGTTTGGTATGAACGTTTACTCATTAGGTCTTATAGAAGTATCACACTGCACTTCCGAAAGTTCTTTTTAAAGGTTGTCCGTTAGTCTTTTTCTTTACGAAAATCACCTAATCTATCGCAGCAGAAAAAATCTCCAGCGCTATTTACATACCCGGTAGCTTCCGCAAACACTGTAGTATCCGATCCGCGCACAGTCTGCGACGGACCAACCAAGATACGTGTGGCTGGAAAGAGCTCGGTTCTGGGGATCATTTTCATGTGTCTGGGAGGCGCAAGTTAGACGACAAGTCGTGGGATTCAGACACGCCAACCGGCAGTGATTTACGGTCGGCGCGAAGTCATTTGATAAACTTTTTACCCGAAAACGTCTCCAGCGGTAAGTACTGACCGAACGTTTAGCTTATTTTAGCAAGCGGAAAGGAGCTGGCTTCAATGGATGTATTTACTTAAACCAGCTTCGTTTGGTTTTGACCTTTGATTATCAGTCGGCGCATTGTTATCAAAGTATACAAATGAGCCACTTCAATAGCTAGGCTATTACCGTCACCTTGTAGCCTGTTTGACATTGACAGCGACTCGACTTAAGGGAAAACGCTGAAAACGTCACACTTTTGACCATTTGACTTTTGGTTAATGAACCATATGGATAGCAACGGCGGAAAATCCGGTGCGTAAACACTGTGTTGTTTGTACAAAAACCTGAAAACGAAATGACAAAAGCATGCTGTCGTGTTTTCTTAAGATGGCGAAATATACGTTGGTAGATTAAAATTGACAAGAGCAGTTGCCTAGTGCTATTTTGTAGTGAAGGTTGATCGAGTCGTTGTAATTTTTACCATTATGTGAGTATGGTTGCGTGTGGGTGTTCACTGTGGCTGGTCTCTAGGTGCTTGAGAGAGTGTCTTATAATTGAAAGAACAGTGTGAGAAAGACAATACATATTCCCTGTTTAGCACTGTCCTTAACACGGTCATCAAATGACGGCTAGCTCCAGTATTGCAAAAAACGAGCTTTTGTTATTCGTCGGTCTTCTATATTGTTTCAATTTGGAGATCTAGTCTTATAGTTGTTTTCGTAATGCTAGAACCATGCCGCTTAAGTTATAAAAGCATGCAACGTTAGAAATCGTGAAACATTTCTTACTTTTCCTGATGTCGACAATCAACGCGTTTCAGCATAATACTGACTGGGCTATTTTTGGCACAGAGATTCAGTGGTCATGCGCTCGTCTAGACTGTTTTGCTTCCTTCACTTATTTACCTACTCATTCGTCAAGCATGCTTTTTTGTTTAGGTGTTTTATTTATTCTAATATTGTGTAGAGTAGACGGGACAATCTTTCCTTTAATGTCGATTTTGTATAAAACATTTGCGCAATTAAACGACCTAAGAGCCCGTCGTGGAAATGTCCACTAGGAACGCATTTCGTCACTGCCGTATTCTGTCGTTTTTTTCCCGCCGTTGGAAAGGATGGTGATACCCTCTGTGCAGTGTTGACGAACAGGCTCGTATGAAAAGGACAGAAGGCACAGCAATATTTCTAATGATGGCAGCTGGCCTAATGACCTTTGAGAGACATTCCCAAAATGACTACGTATTGCCAAGCGACCGAGAAATTATTTGCGGTATCTAGCTCGAAGTACCTTGGCTCAAGAATTGAAACAATTAACTAGCGAAATGTACTTTGCGCATAATATCAGTGATACGTTGATTCTAGATGGCGCAGGTGACCAAAATAAGCCAAGAGGTATTTCTTGTTCAGATTCTTGTTCTTGATTGTAGAACAGATTCATTTAGGTCATGATATCCCTTATGTATTGAAGAACTCAACTCGGAACAGGACTTTGGTATGCACCAAACAAATCCTTACGCGTCTCGATCGTGTATGTTTAAGTGATTACGTACAGAGCAGACAAAATCTTCTCAAAAATTGAAAACTGACGCGACTGACACCTATATGCGGGTAGGGGAAAGAGGAAAAGTTATTCATCAACTAACATTTATCAACTAACAGCCTTGCAGATTCGTAAATGTTTTATTTAGGGAACTGTTTTGATCTGATGCTGATCGACTAAATTACACAGTCACAAAATGACCTCAAAGGAATACAAGCTGTTTTTCATATCTCTTGTTCCAAAAATTACTGCTATCTAATGAATTGAACAGTAAGATTTACTTATATAAGGTCCGACCTGTTCGTGCACAGTATGTCAAGTACGTTGTCTCAACAGTACTTTGTTACTGAGTGTGTTAGTTATGCAAAAGGAAGTCAAACTGACGTATTTACACTGAGAAATTGAATAAAGCATTTCTAAACGCTTAAAAAATCTTATTGATAAGAAAACGGTACACATGACTGCAGTGTTTTATTCAGATGCAGCAAATTTAGGCTAAACAAGCCCATACCCAGAACCATCCTGACATGGTAAGTAACAATTATTTTTTTTCTATGAAATTATACTTTTGTATAAAAACTTTATTCGATTCTGTATTAATAGAGAATTGATATATACGTACACACCTGGCGCGATATTATAACATTAATAGTAGCACTGTTTCAGATCAGTAAAACATGCTCATTGTCTTCTTATGTTTTGTCATTTATTTATCAAATATCATTTATTTAGGAACCCCGCCAACGGAACCTGTAAATATGGCTGGAACTCTTCGTAACGTAGGCCGTCTAGTTCCCAATCGTTCAGCTCTTTTTCTGTGTGATCTTCAGGAAAAGTTCAGACCGATAGTCCAATATTTCCCTGAAATAGTCGCCATATCCGGTCGAATGCTGCACGCCGCTAAGGCGCTCAATATGCCCGTCATTATCACCGAACAATATCCGAAAGGTGACGCAAGTGCTGTACTATATAATTGTCAAGGATTTGATCGTACATCAAATGGTTTTCTCTCCCCTAAAGGCTGCTACTGGACGCTTTTTCTGAAGCAAAGGATCTTTAAGACGTTGCAAGGAATAACAATGTTCGGTTTTTAACTAAATGAATAACCCATAAATACAAGAGTGGAGTATAATATAACGTGGTTTGCTGAAAACCTGAAATACCGGTTAGCATTTTAGAACTGCCGAATATTTAAGCCTCTCATATGTAGCCGGTTGATTGTAGGGACACAAATCATACAACACAAAACGTGTAATCGATGTTTCTTCGTTTATTTTAGGTCTCGGCCGCACCGCTGCTGAATTGGGCATTGATAAATATTTGGATATTAAGCCTGTCGAAAAAACTCAGTTCTCAATGTGTACTCCAGAAATCATCGGATTAATGAAGTCAAAATATCCGGATGTAAGCTATTGTACATCACGTTAAAATGAATAATTTATTTTATTTATTTATTTTTTATTAATAATGCTTCATTTGACTATTTTTAATTTCTTTATACACGGTCGCTTTGGTTTAATCGCCTGATTTTCGAATAGAACTGCACATCCTTTTTCTCTTTCAATTAGATGGGAATTTATAGTTACGTAAAAGTTGACACATGTCCATGTAGATGTTTTTAGTTTTTATCTTGAAGGACTCTATTCTTATAATGAGTACTGTCGAAAAGCCTTAAGCCTATCAAAGCTGTTTAAGTCTAGATAAATGGTTTTGAATCAACGGACCTATGGCTTTTCGATACTTTTTAATCATCATGCTTATTTTCTTTTTACGAATCGTAAGATTTTCATAGCGTCAAAAAAAGTAATTTTCTATTTCACTGATTCGAGAAATAATCCATATTCTTAATAAATTGCGTGTTTCCCTAGAGTGAAACAACAAAACCTGTAACTAATTAGATATAATGGCAGGGCATAAATAAAGCACTGACGGAAAAAGCGCCTGTTTATAAACATGTTATCACAGAGGCAACGACCACAAGTAGTATACGAGAATATGCGTAGTGTTTTATGAACCTTATGAATTCGTTGAGATACTTGGACAATATATGCATGTGATGTTCTTTGCGTAATGACCAGGTGGATACGATTATTCTTTGCGGTATTGAGGCTCATGTCTGTGTTCAAAACACTGCCCTCAATCTTCTGGAGAACAATTTCAATGTACATCTCGTTGTTGATGCGTGCTCTTCGAGGTCGCTTGTAGACAGGTGAGTTTTTTTTACTTGTGAGAAGCCAACAGTTATGAAGTTAAACAGCATGCGGTAGTTGTTGCTATAATTTTGACGTAATATTTTAACAATAATTTCAAAAAGACCTCGTGAAAACCTGGTAGACAGCGGAAATTTCTGAACTTCAGAGTTTAGGAGTTAAGGAGCAGCAGAAATTGTTGACCGGACTCCGATAAAGAACCATGTTTTTTAAAGCAATAAAAAGAACTCCTTCTTTCTTAGAAGAAGACTATCTTCATTTACGACTGTCTGGTAAGGGGCCGAAAAGGAGGTCACATATAGTTAACTAAACAGAAGGTCGACTCGCCTAGCAGTGCCGTTGCATTAATCGTTTGTTCACTATAACACGGGCGTGAATGTATCGCCACTGTTGGATCCTAATCAACTTGATAAAGCAATAGATGTTCGTATACAATTATAATTGGTTTCCATTCCTTTTCGCCAATTCCAGAATGTATGCTTACGACCGAATGAAGTCTTCGGGAGTGTTTTTGACGACAAGCGAAGCTGTCATTTTGGGATTACTTGGCGGATCCTTACATCCGAAATTCAAAGAGGTAGGTGGACCAGGTTACTACTAATTTGGAGGTTATCGACTCCGATTTTGATAATACTTATTGGGTGCAGCCACATACCTATATACTTACACATAAGGAACGTAAATAAAACCCGCAAATATTTTATACAGTGATTAAATCATACAACGAACATATGACTAATAAACCTCAACATGTACCTGATATCTCCTCTTTCTTGCAGTGACTGATTTTTATTATCTTTCGAAAATGCCGGAAGATCCATTTCGAATCCGCTGAATAGAAGGCTTACATATAATATTTAAAGAAATGTATAATTAAAGGTAGTGGCTGCTGAACGGTTAGAAATGAAGCTTTGGTCCGTCCGTAAAGAAGTATGTTGGCATCTTAAATTATTTACTCGAAATACACACTGCTTAATGCTATCATTTGCATTACAGATTCAAGAGCTCATCATGAAGTCTGCGCCGGACACTGGCCTGCTCAGCATGAGGTCTAGAAATTGACTTTGACGAAGACTATTACGGTTTTTGTGTACCTCAGGCACTACAGATAAGCTGCAAACACCGTAGATAGAGTCTGTGCAGCAAGATAAAAAACGCAATGAGTTAAATCAATTTGTAAAAGCTATTTCGAACAAATACGTAAAAAAATAGTAAACAAATACTTTACTGAAAAAAGCTCACTAAATAAAAGAGATTTTCCAGAATCGTATCTGCTCAATTTTTTTAGGTTCGCTTTGATATGCGCGTAGAAAGCCTACATCGAAATTTCGCTTACGTTTGAAATGCAACGAGGGTCCGATGTAGGTAGATGGTGATACTATCAATATTGCTGTAGAGCACAATATTTATTACTATTTCTATATTATATTATTACTATCCAAGCACTTAGGTAAGCCATGAAGTTATTTTTATTCCATGTATTCAAGATAAAGGTAGGTAAAACTTGTATCACTTATATACAATGATAATAATAAGATAGATAATAATAACAATGAGAAGAACGTCATTTAAAAAATGTGATACAACTTTTTGTGTTAATCCTACTTACCTCTGTTAAATGCTGAAGCTCAGTTTAAGCTAATCAATGATATTCTGTTAAAGTTGCATATATGATAACACAGAAATTATGCTATGCACGCATGTTCGAGCAAGGAGTTTGCAGTGGCTTTTCACTATCTAACAATGCTGTTATATTTATGCGTCGACGAACATCTACTTAGTATTATCGAGGCTATTTTCTAACGATCTGCTAGTTCTCTTAGTTAGAGTTCTTACTTGTCAAGGGTTTTCACTATATAAGACACGATAATGCTGGCCTGGCACATTTTGTTAGAATCAAAATATTCTCGTAGAATGCATATATCCTGGAAAGTTTCTACTGCCTTGCAGACAGCAAAAAAACCATTTTGAAGGATTCTATCTTGTTCACATCTTACTAAAAACTCTATCTGTATATATCCTGCTTCGAATACCCAAAAATAATTGTTCTAATGACAAGATTACTTAACGAGCGTGGACTTCGCGTCAAAATAATCCCCACCTTTCAGTAAATTTAACCCGCGTGTCCGTCTAAATAATGATTAAAAAAATTGCCCCATATTGGAGCATGGACATATTGGAGAATATACACTAACGCTCCGATAGAAAGAGCAGTATCGACAGGACCCGCTAAGGCTCCTCTTATTATATTTCTTCCTGTCTTAAGTATTTTAGTATATAATATTGTAAATGTGAAAACAATTAGTGGTTTGGATTTTTCTATAAACACCATTGAAGTCTTCATGCTGTTGGTAGTCCACCACATAGTCAAGGAGAAATACTCGGAAATAGTTGCTACCAATTTTCTGTACATCTTCCAAAATAAAAAAACAGCAGAATTCGGTCGGTCATCACAACCTACAACTTTATCTGTTTATTAAATAGTATTCATAAACCACCAACCCTTGAGGGAACGTCACGTCAACGGAATATGTCTCAGTGAAATCCGTTTGCGGTTTGTATGTCAACTAACTCTCTTACCAGGAAATGTATTGTTTACTCTATTAACGGTGCTACTGGTAGCCATTAGCAAGACTACTGCTACCTCTTATTACTGATCACTATTTTATCAGTAATATATTATTCATAAAAGCTGTTGTAACTGTTTCTTTAGATTCGAACCACCGTATGTCAGTATGTCACTATAATTTCCACTTTTATTTTGCCACATTATTCATAATAGCTCGTCAAATATCGTTATTGAGTCCTTGTAAACACGGCCAACTTAGTAAATTCAGATGATAGGCTTTCGCCGGAAACAGTTAAATCATCGACTAGCTCTCCTTAGATATTTTTACCTACTCTTTCTTTGTTGCTTGTTCAAACTATATTCGCACATAATCTACTTTTCAATGATGTAGTCTGATTAGCTATCTCGTTTGTCGTCTATTTTAATTCAACTCATATAAAAGTCAGTTCATGAAAATGCATACTTCATCTGTTTTGTTTGAAGGGTTACATCTATTTCTTAAGTGTTTGGCTATTGGAACGAACGAAAATAATTATATGAGTTTTACAGGCAATATCGGAAATATAAACTTGAGGGACACCCTATTTTTTACTGTTTCGATAAAAATGCTTTTTGCCTTTATCACTGGACACCTGACATTTTACTAAGAAAGGTCGAAAGCTTAGAGCGTTGGCCACGTATCAGACACATCCATCGAATACAAGGAAATAATACACCTGCTTATATGCTCATTTTTGTCAGGAGCTCCCTAAGCTTTTCTGCTTCTAACCCGTTCAAAAAATGTATAAATGTTAATTGTATTTCTATTACAATTAATCATTATTTCATAGGTGTGCTACTACTATGCATTATTAGCCATTCCTAAACTAACGATATAACTTTATATGATGTATATGGTCGTGCACGTTCCTCGCCAAACGCCGGAAAAATTAGAAAGACCGCATGTTTCGTATTACGCAAGAGAGCAAGGAGATCTCTTTGAAGGTCAAATGCTTTACAAGACTTCATTTACTATAATCGATGATGCCAATAGCAAAATAATCCGTTTCACCGTGTTACTCTCGTAAACTGTACACGTCTTCTAACTGCCAACTAGTAATTATACTTTCTAGTGAATGAATACATATTTGCTGTTTTTTTTCCTAACTTAGCTGCGACGATTCTTGGTGCCTAACAGTGCATTACATTCGTATGAAATTTGAAGAGTTATGTCCGCTATCGCCGTTAGGCACAATTCCACCAGACAAACAGCTGGCCAGCTGATTGGCTGCCAATTAACACGAAACGAACCGTGTATTTGTCCGGCTATGCCTTATGGGTTCGGACTCAGATCACGTCTAACGTGTGCCAAAGATTAGCAGGCAAATACGTTAGCCACTAAGCCAACACGGAGAACTCAACATAAGTTGAACACGTTTTATATCTCTTCGTCGGTGCCAAGGCGCCACCACGCGCCTGTCACTCACTTTGCCGCTACTTCAGAGATAGCGCGTGTTAAGTTGATACGGTTCGCCTATTTCGCCCCATTTATGTAACAAACCCTGTTGTCTCATTGTCTACCACAAATATAACAAAGAATACTTTCGCCGATACTAATTTACCCTTACAATTTTTGTTTCTTCATCTTATTTCATTGCATCGAACAGTATTGCGTCCCGGCCTCAGCTAATGGGGGCTTATTAGCAGCACACGTTTTAAGTCTTTCCCTCTGCCTCCGATATAGCATCCCACATTATTTGTCATCATCGTGCGTTTGTTAAAAATTCTCATTTTGTTTTATTATCTTTTTGGATCTAACTGAATATATCATCATAGCTAATAACATTAAAATCTAATTGCTGTTATTGTGTCCGTCTACTGCGTCTAGAGAGGGATTTACAGTGGTCACCCTTCCCACGACGTGGTAGAAGATCAAGCCGAAGACGATAACAGCAGCGACAATATAGCACATCAAGCGACGGTTGCTCCGGCCGGAGCCAAGCAGCTTGTTAATTCGATGTACCCCGCCCGTAAGGAGGTTCTGTGTCGAGCCAAAGTTCCAGACCATGCCATCAAGGTATCTGAAAGAAGGCAACGACGGTGTAAAAATGCGTATTGTTCGCTGGACACTTTTAAATTATAGTTTTGTGTTATTAGCTTAAGATAGGGAAAAAGGAACAGGGTGGGTAACCGAGACCTCAGAAATAAAAATCACAATTAAAGTGTAAATACTGAATAAAGTGTGAATTAAGTTACACTGAATATTGCGCATTTGGACTCAAAGAGGGTAGCAAAACAGCTTAGCATAAATTATCTGTAGTAGCTACTTATATATAATACCTTATCTTGTCCTAACTAATCCAGAGAATTAGGTACTATGTCACAGTACTAGCAAAGCAAATAAAATTTAAAAAATTCGCTACAATCATCTGTAACACAAAATCTATCCATAACTGGGTAAACGATTAAACAAGAACACATTTACCGTCGCCACTTATAGTTAAACAATTGGACGCATTTGACGCTGCTAAAACGTCTATCCGACAATGCGATTACAGCCAAATACGAAAAACTACTATTTGGTGTAAATTAACTACCATTATCTGAAACTGTGATCTTTTAACTCGTTTTGTAAACCACAGATGATCAAGTACATAAAGTGCTAAAAAAAATGCCCTTTATCTGCCTCATTATCCTAACCATAAATAAAGCTTAGGTTTTAAATAGATAAACGCTTTCAAAATTGCTTGCAACGAGCTCGGACGGTACCAAGGGCTATTTTTTCTGTTCTATTCAAACTAAATGAAATAAAACGAAAGCCAATGAACGGCGTCACATACCTGTTGTGTTCTTTGGCTTCGTCTTCGATATCATAGGCGAGACTCTTCAGTTGCCTGATGTCCCTAGCAAGGTTGTCCGTTAGCCGCCGGTTTTCTGCGTCCATTCGATCGTCCTCCATCATTGCGTTTTCGTATCCTGCTAATGGTTTTAATTCCAAAAAGCGCGGATGTACGCAAAAAGGGTTTACACTTCTTAGCTGTTTTTCCACAGATCCATAGATTCGTCTAACAACATGCTAATCACAGATGAGATCTGCTCTTTGATGTCCACCACCCAACGTCTGCTACAAAAAAAAAACCTATTCGAGCAAGCAGTTTATATTTTTGTGGGTTTTTTTCGCTTAGTTTTCTTTTTCTCAATGTAGCGCTTTTTAATTCTACTTCGCCTATTTTAAGTGTAAGAAAAGTATTTTCTTATCTTATGAACAATTTTTATCTGTCAAGACGCAGTCGCGTGATTGTTATTTTTCCGAAATTAGAGTAGATATTTTTGCTGTTACGTATTGGATAGAGCCAAACGAGGCGTGAACGTGACGCCGAATGTAAGCTACGGTTACTGTTTCGTCTGTGATTTAGTCCTTGGCTATGTGCTCTTGTCCGACGAGAGTCCACCTGCGGACGCGTGTGGTTCACTGGGATTACCAGCTTCACCTCTCTTTTGGCTTTTCTTCGTTTCAACGTGACCTGAGCAATGCTCACAGTCACCCTCTTCTTCGTCGGAGCTTTCACCGAAGTCAGTCGGTTTCGTATAGACACAACAACACTTAGACTTTTTTTTGTTGAGGTTTTCGTTGTCAATTACGTCCGAGGACCAGCCAACTTTCCTGCAAAGAAAAGGTAAAGTGCGTATGAAGCACAACGACAAAACAGCTGCAATGATAATTAATAACCCCGAATCTTTTTGTCATGCTTAAAAAAAGTATGATCTTCAGGCGCAGGAAGAGGTTAGAAAAAAAAACCGTGTAGTATTGATCAGTTGATATGTGGGGGTGCGACAGTAGCTTTAATGATAAAGTCAATGATGTCTCAATGATATCAATGTAGATAAGTTCACATAAATAAAATTAAAAATTAAATAAAAATAAAAATACAAAATAAGATTTTCTTAAAATTGTTACTTCATAATAACAGCAAATAATAATTCGTATGCCCTGTAAGCTCTTACGCTCCCGATTGCTGCACCTGAAATCTTTTCGATTTACACAAGCAATAACTGCACGTAACCAAATTAGTGTATTTTTCCTAACGTCTTCAACGTCATTTCCTATCCAGTACAGTGTACCTGTATTATATACTTCATTAAAACAAATGAAGTTCGGGAAGACTGAAAACAGCGGGAAATTATATCCAACATGTTGCACGATTTATTGAAATTAATTTAAATTGATATTATAGGAAAAGGCATTCATGCTCCGTACTCGCAGTTGGTAACTGCACTATCATAGTTATAGTATATGCGAATCCTTTGAAAAAACGAGCCCAAAAGCTCAGCTCAGAGCAGCAGCCCCAATGGCCGCAGTAGGCGCCGTCACGTCATCAGCAACTGTAGCCACCAATAGATTATGCTGTTTTGTTTCAAAAAAACGAATGCTTCACATGAATGTGTTGTAATTCTGCTGCGATTCCGCCACTAGCTTGCGCTTGCCCTGATAAAATGATGTTTGCTTGAATGTTCTTTAGACCTATCGAAGCACCTCTTTCTTCTTTGTATTTCTTCTTTGTTTCTCGAATATCTCGAGTTATTGCTCTGAGCAGTAATTATGCATGACCCATAGCACTTCTTCAAAAGGTTGCTACCGCAAAATTCTACCGCATAGAATTGTCAGTATTGAGTTCACTCAAATTTTCGTCATGACACGGTCGAACCGTCTCCTCTCTGCACAAAAAATAAAAACACCGTTCAAAAACACACAACCCATTCAACATGATGTTACCATGCTTTAAAAACAGAAGCGCCGTACCGTTAGTCGACAACAAATTTCACAGCTACCGTATTCGCTCGAACTCGCTTTGTGATTCATTTGATCACTGACTTTTTGGATTGTATTCAACGTTCACTCACCTGTCACTTTTGGGCTTTTTTAATTTAAGCACCAGGGACGGACTGAGTCGATTGTGCGAGCTCGATGGGCCGCTACCATCCACTGTTGTTTGCGCAACGCTCAGCTGCTCGGACTGTGTTGTCGTTGTTTGAACCGTGGACATTATTCGCTCTCACCCGTGTAACGCCGGCTCCTGGTTGACAATCTGTGTTTCGGCACCTGTGCGACTTCAGCAGCAGTGACACCGTCTTGGAGACCAATAATTCACTCCGGGCTCAGTTCTACTGCCGTTCAACAATACAGTTAAGGGTACTGGCTGACTCACAACGTCTACAACCTGCTGGAAATACGCGAGATAAAAAGGTATCGTCAAGATGATATAGTCTTCAAGGTTGATAATTGACCAAAATCTAATCATCACCATATAGCTCTTCACAGTATACGTAGATCATACTAGAATCACAGGGGAAAAGATGGCTTATACCTTAGGTTACACGTTTATGATCAAAGCTACCCCGCTTCAGCTAGTGAGACACTGTAGCTAAGTTACGACGATTTGTGTCGGAATTTCTGCGGCTGTTGTTGCGTACACAAAAAAGCGATGAGACATATAACGTCGGATACACGCGACTCAAAGATGCATGTTTGTCTGTGCTTACAGCAAGTGGTGTACAGTGAAGACAATATTGTGTATCGCGTCGGCATTAAAGGGCGATAATGAAATCCATTAAAATTAAGTAATTTAGATTAGTCATGTGCGCCATATATAGTTTCCCGTTTGCGTGTTTCTGCCCAGAAGTACAGAAATAAAAGTCCTCTTTTGCACAACACAATTTCTTTACGCAGTATTTCCCACTGCTATCACGCATTTCACTGTTACGACGAACAGGCATTGTAAGCATGAATTTGCGACGGACTGATCCAGTTGCTCATTATCTGTTCGGCTTATTATGAGGTTCACATACCACACATTAAGTAATTGCAAATAAGCGAACAGAAATAAGAAACAAGAGTTCGCTGGCAAAGTGCCCCTGCCACCCGTTGTTTTGAATTATTATTGTTGTTGTTGTTCTGGGACCAAGTGGGAAAAGAACACGGCAGATAGTCAAACCCCCCATTTCTGTGTTTTAAACTCTATCTTCCTCCATGGATGGCGCTGCAATCAGGAAACGGTCGCTGCGCTTCGCGAACATTGAATCATTCATTCGGGGTAATCCGCCATTGGCCGCTGGAGTGGACAGGGCGCGAACTTTTGAATTCGTACGTTAGTCGAATTGCCGGTTTCGCATTAATCTGATGCACTATGTATAGATTCATAATAAGAATAAAGGACATGTGTAGTACCATATATGTGTATACGTTGTACAGTGAAAAAGACGTTACGCATAGCGAATTTTTTAGAACGGCAGCTGATGTATTCGATCATGGAGGAAGCGTACTTGTGCGAGTTAAGCTGGTTCACTTTGGGAGAAATCGCGAAAACAAGATATAGACATTTGTTGCCGCCATTTTTCGTTACCTGGATATTTTTTATTCGGTAGATCGGAATAACGAAAGTGGCCGTGATATATAGTAAAAATTCAATGTGATTTTACTCCTAACCTTTAAATCTGGTCCGCATATTTACCGTGAGTTCCGCCATTCAAACATATTGCCGCATAAACCTTGTTTTTATATGCGTAAGCTGTATTCCAATTTTCAGGAAGTCGACAGTAAGCTATCCGATCAAACAGGTCTTCTCTCGATATGTTAGATCACGGACGTACAAGTCTTAAGTGACTATCGGATTTCATGTACCCAACCAAGTTTTCAGAGGTGACTGCAAAGAACGATAAAGTACCGTGCAAAAGTGTGTTCATTCATGAACAATTTACGAAAAGACAAAGAATACACACAGCAAGTTTATAACAGACTCTCATGATACATGTTTGTCTGTTGGATGTTTAGGGCTTTTTGCTCTCCGACAACACACGACCAAGAGAGCGACGTTGGTCTCACACAATACAAATATTTCAAGTTTAGAAAAAAATTATACCTATATTGAATAAGACAATCACTAAATTTCTACTGTGGGTGTGACAGCGCGGTAGTGAAATAGAAACTTGTAACAATGATGATAAAACGATAAATAAACGATATTAAGGTAACAGCTTGATGTACATAGTTGTCTTGTTGTGGCCGAAACCCATTAGAATAGTAAGCCTGTGGCATTAGCAATTCTACGCACTATAATTATTTTCGAAATAAACTAATTAAACTATAGAATACTTAACTAGAGGCTACAGATCAGGTAATCGATAGAAGTCGACAATCCCAGTACTCAGCGGTTAGATACATTAACTCTGAGTGTCGAATTTCGAACACGCAATCAAAATTATCCAGTAGTTATGAGGTCACTAGAAACTTCACCCATGCCATCAACGAATAATTAATAAACACAGACAAAAACAAACACTCGTTCCTAGAAAGCGTCAACTACTACAACAAGCGAAAATGTTTCGCCTAAGTCATTTATTGTATTTCCATTCTACTTAATGTCTGTTTCCTATTTAGTTTGCTGCTAGCCAATATAACACCCAACTTACCTACGATTAAGGTGTAACATATAATAAAGGCTTGTATTTCTATGGAGTTGTACCGACAGGTGGAATAGCCGCTTTCACACCCGCCAAAGCTTAAACGAGTGCTATAAGGGAGTTGGGGGAATATTATGACGTAACACATCCTAACTAAACAAAAAATAAAGATTTTAGATAGGAACAACTTCAGCAGACTGCTAAATCGATCAGGCACTACTCGAATAAAACAGCCCGTGATAATCACTAAATGTAAAAGTTTTGTAAGTAGAGTCAGGGCATGTCTAAGTAAATATTTTGAGTTTTACGTTCTGTACGATTATAATTAAACTTCGGATAGCTCACCTCCAGCACGAAACGAAGTGTACCTACACCAAAGTCGATTCTTTTTTAAAAGGCTGAGGGGAGCGTTAAATCTAGGTTACGTCACTCGTTACGTCTAATAGGTAAACACGTTATTACTACACCATAACGGACACATGGTAAGACATGTTTAAAAAATCGCTTACAGCTGGCGCGTAGCTACCTCCTTAACATAGAAAACAATCGAAAAAAACATCGTTTTCTTTTCATTTATTGCACGAGTGCTTTTTTCTCTATTTGGTACAGTGCCTGCTACTCTATATATATATTTTTCATCCCCGCAGACGATCCGGGCTCCCTCGCGCGGCATAATACTAACTGGCATATTACGCAGTATAATACTGCTTCTGTTTCAGTAAATCATTACTTTGAACGGCTGGCTTCAAGCAAAGACAAATCGAAACCTCCTAACGTGCCCCTATCAACGCTTCAGCCGTTTCTTCTCTTAATGTAATTTTTATATTTACTTTTTAAGGTTTAGGGCTAATGTATATTGCACACCAGGCTTTACGATTAAGGTATCTGTCTGGTATTCCCTCTCTCTCTCATTCTCACTCTCAGCCAGCTTTCATTAATTGGGCCTTGATTCAATATTGTTTCGAAGCAGAACTTGCAGGTACTGTTGCAGCAGTACATGGACTCAGCTCTGCGTACCCGCTATGCGCGAATTCGCCAACTCCTGTTGCTAAGCAGTGGTTACTTTTGGCGCCAGCTTTCCTACGACAGATACAACTTATCAGCGCTGTTCACTCTTTAATTCGCATGTAGCATCTAGTCATCTGAGCTGTGTAGTGGCGGTTGTATTGCCCTGTGTGAAGTAGTGCCTAACGGCTCAAGTATTGGACATGAAAAACGAAAAAGCTTTTTTACACTGCTTTCGGTGGTGTAATGCTAAAGCAGAACACCAGCGTTCCGTTTCTCTTTACTTTTCTTGAGTTCGTCATTCGCCAGAGCCGTCATTTGCAATGTATAATACTAACCATTAACAGGAGATACGGCCACAAACTGTGGTCATGTATGGGACTGTGTTGTTTGCCACCGTTTGACGCTGCTACTCGGACTTGTTGGCTGGCTCCGGTGTCTGCTTCTAAGCTGCTGCTGCTGCTGCTATTCGGGTTGTTGTTGTTGTTGTTTTGCGCGCGCGTGTGTATCGCTGCAGTTCCAGGGCCGGCTATACTGTCCCAACTAGTATTAAGTTTCAGGCAGTTAGCAGACGCCATAAAAGCAAAGCGGCTGCTTGTGGCAGCCAGCCGCAGACCGTTGCGGTGGTAGCAGTAGCGCGACGTTGTAACAGGCACAGCGGAGTACACCCATGGACCCAACACAGAAAAACGGCGAAGGGATTTGTGTGGGTGTGTATATGGTTGTGTATCTGTTTGCCACTTCTGCCGTTCAGACATAGACAAGGAAAGCTACGGACTATTCTCGCCAGCTGAAACTGCAGCACTGTCAGCGGCTCGTGTAATATCTTGTAGACAAATACGCGGAAGGGACAGCGTACAAATAAGAGAGATTACCGTTCGACCAATGACAGGCCAAGACAGTAGCCAATAGAATCCTCCGCTTGGAGCCACGTTCCTGGTCGATTATCTAGCGAGTCTGGCACTCGGTGCCGGTGATGCGAGTATCAGAATTCGTTCGAAAGGACTTATACCGTTTCAGTATTAGTCGAACTGTGGAACTGCGTGAGATCATGAATGGATGTAGACTATTATCACTGGGTACGCTGTCTGTCCGCTTCTTCTAGGTGCCTGCCCGTTTCCCATTTTCCCTTTTAACAGTCTCCAGAGTGGCTAGGGGGTGTTCGTCCCGACTGATGCTCCTTGGCTACCATTCACTCTAAAGTTAGGTAACAAAAATAAGAAATGCTGTTTATTTCCTGCTAATGTTCCTGTAGAAACGTTACTCGATCAATTTTCAGTCGTTCTAGAACCCCTCTTCCTCAGTATTCAAGCGACGGTAAAAGTAACGAAGGCCATTAAAGCGAGAAGAAGCATCACTATCTCTCATGCAGTAGCCTTCCTTAAGGAAATTACTGCAGATTCTAGGTTGCCCGATCGACAGACAGCGACCGCGTCGGGTTGCATAGCAAAAAAATCTCCTTGTGCCATCTACACAATACTTTCGTGCAGTATATATTGTTCCCCTATGTCGGGCGTAGGCGAGTCCGTGCATGCGTGTTTGCCCCTTGTCGGATAGAGGTTTCAGTGGGAGTCAGTACTGTTCGGGACAAATACCGTGTCCCTCGGCAAAAGAGGGCCTTGGGTTGTTCCCTTTACTACTAGACAATTTAGCCTGTGGGGTAGTAGTACACAGAGAAGGTGCGTGTATTAGCCTCAGAAAACTGTTTCCTTTGCTAACCCCATTTGGAAAGATAAGTGTGAATACGGCTTCGAGCACTGGCAAAAAGATTACGGAGTACTGGCGAGTGTCACCAGTAGAAGTGGTAGTTTTAGCGGTGGAAAGGGGTGATTAGAATCAACACGCAGTGAGACTGTAAACTGCAGTGTGGCCAGTCTGCCTTGGCCTGTTTAGTAAAACGAACTCTTATAAACCGTGTTCTTCGACGGCATGGCGCACCGACCTAGCATCGAACAGGTGAGTACGGAAATAAACAGTTGGTTTGTTGGGTCAGCAATGTTTGATCGTTGATTTTTCTCGTAACATTGAGACATGACCCATTCATGATATGATAGTATTGAATTTAAACAAGAAGGGGGAAGGGGGGAGAGCAGATATATTTGTTGATGTCGCTATGCGCGAATGAAAACGCTAGTGATTGTCAAGTGCGGAGGGGATCTTATCAGGGCGGTGTGAAGTATTATACGAGGAATGATTGTTTTTGTCTACGGAGAAATTTATAAAATTATTTTATTATATCTCTTGGAGGCGAACGATTGCAAGGTTTTATGTGTTTAAACACCACAATGCGTTCGCTAAGTAACAGACATAATAATTAGAGTTTTTGCTGGCCCTACTGAGAACACGCACGGTGTAGAGCACACCGTCCAAGCTGAGTAATGGGTTGCCTCCACCAATGGGAAATTGTACGAAGATGTCTCATTCGAGGATGATCGGAAGCTGCGCATACGGTCCACTGCAGTCAGTGAAGGATTCCAAATCCACATCTACGCATAAAAAAAGACCTGTCGTATCGTGCATGGAATAGATGCCTTGAAAATCGTATCAGTAAATGAATGGCTTGATATTATTATATGAAATAATGAGATTATTAGGTGCATGAACCACAGGAGGCATAACTCGTTTTTTTTTCTCTTGTTTTGCTCCTTTTCCGACCATCGATCGAAGATGTTTTACAACTTGGCCTTGGAGCCTTTTAGAAGCTATCACCACGGAAAGTGTTCGACATCTGTGGATTCAGAAGACCTACGAAAATGAATGTAAATAAAAGTATGCTCTCAGGGGGCGGTAAATCGGAACAACGTTTTGTTTGTTCACGTTGGAGGTGTTTACTATTCGATGTATCAATGGTATTGGTTAACGTACTGGAATTGCTTAATATGCACGCTACATTTTTTCGTAGCAGGTAAAGTATCATACTTCACTATGTATTTTATATATCCTTACTAATGCCTGCGTACGCATTTCGAGAAACGCTTCACTTAAGTAGTCAGTAGGCAGTTAAAGATGATAAGGCTCTGTGTGCGTCTAAGAACATTACGATTCTACTTTGGACGCCTATCAAAAAGAAGACGTTAATATTTCAAGAAGGTCACTTACTGATTCAATGCGAATGATGAAGCCTTGCACTTTTATTAAAAAAAAAATCAATTTAAGGATCTATTCGTTAACAAAAACAATCTGCGTTAAGTCCGCTGATTTAATTTCGTTCTGTTGTTCCGAAATGTGTCGACTCATCTGATGGAAGGTGAACAAGCATCTGGGATGAATTTAGTTGGGGCCTTTTTTTCCGTGGAATATTGAAATATCTTGCGAAAATTGTCTCTGACCTACCGATTAGCGTTAATAATTGCACCTATACATCAACTATAATACTTTTCAAAAACAGATCGGCACTTTTTAAAGGAAACGACAAGACCGATAATGCAAGCTTTGTTAAAAAACATTACTTTCACAGACAATTGCAATCTAGCTGTAACCCCCTTGGCTTTTTCTGGACGCGTACTTCAAAAATTGGTTACTCTATATCCGCAGCACGGTGACCGTACGTTGACTAAATAGCAGCAATCGGATTCGGTTTGAGGGAGTAAATCTTGCGTAATTCATAAAAAAAAAACGTGTTCTTGGCTTCATTTATGAATGGCCGTAGTTTTAAGTGATTGATGTTGTGATAACGCTATATTCCTCTACCCCCATGCATTTTTTGATACGTGTTATCATCTGCAACACAATTGACAATGTCTGTTTTTCCACAAGGGTATATATATGGAAAATGTTGATTCAACTGCTATGGCTATGAGTGCGGCTGTCATCTTGGAAGACTTTCGAAGTTCCTGTTTCTTATACAGTTTTGCTAAATCCGCCGTTCAAACAAAACGAGTTCTTTAGAATGATTATTATAGAATGTTCTTTATTTTACGTTCAACATTGAAGCCGTTAGCCGCTGCTTTTCCTGGACAAAACGAGACGTATTCCCGCTCGAATTCGAATCTAAACCACGACGTCTCACTAAGGTCGGTAGCTAAAAACGTTACTCGCTGCGCTATCACGGGGACAAAATGATCCTTGCCAGCAGCCTATTTACCGAACAATGTAGCAAATAAGCTAATTATTGACATCAGTCTATCAGTGCTCGCTTAGCATACATTTTTAGCATTTTACACTCTTCGTCATATACTGTAGACTTCACATGACCAAAATAGAAACAAAGCGTGGAGTAGACTTTGCATTCTGTGAATGTTCTCCGCTCACATTTCGTCTATGATATCCAGATATTATCGTATAGCGTACCTATTTGTGCGCTGACACCAAAAATTCCTATTTATCGACCAGGCAAGGTGGGTACAAACGGATCCGGCTCGGGTAACCGGTGGAAGCAATCGGACACATTTGTTTGTGAGTGCAAATTTTCAAGCGTCCAATGCCATTGATCAAGAATCAAAGTGATGTAATATTACTTGCCAATCCACTCACACGGTAAAAAAGCTGGTATTGTCGTTGGCCAACGTTGTATTGTAGAAGTCTCATGGTGAGGGGAACGTATCACCTGAAGTAATTCTGTCCAGCGTTTTTTTCTGGGATGCCGTTATCTTTCGTGAAAAAAGCCCTAATTTCATTGCAAATGAACCACTCACGTTTCTGATGCATAAAACCAAAACCGAAGCTAAAAACTGATAACTTAGGGGCATGTGGTGACTAGGTTCAAAACCGGGTGTAGACGCAGAATTCACTTCGTCTATGCGATAAAACTCAAGACATTTAATTTTCCATTAAGCACCTGTATGCAAGTTGTACTTCCCGATGACCCAAACACTTCTTCGTATCTGCTTTGCATTACATTCAGCCTACAGTGTATTTATCCTGATTCGTAGTTGTTTCCTAGACTATACCCAATCCGTTCTTCGTTGCACGTGATTCGTTTTTGTTCCATCTTGTTGCATCTATTCCATTGCTGGGTAAAACAAAAAGAGTATGCCAGAGTTTATCCATGTGAATTTGATGGTCAAATTGTGATTTGTTCAATCAAGGGCCTTATATGACCGAGAAATTCATAATTCCAGTTCACTGAATACGTCGATTAAATAGTTTCTGCTTTTTACTCGCGTCAAGGGTGTTATTCATCTAAATATATTCCCACTGTTTGAGTGTCACTCAGTACCTCTACTGACAGAAGTTTCTTTTGTCGGAATTAGTCCTTAGCGGAAATCAACATAAAGATTACTATGCTTTATTGGTATATGCGTAGTATACACGTATTAAGTCTAATGCACAGTCATTCTACGAGTGTTCTTTATTGATAGACGTCGCTGTTGTTTTTATGCTACTTCAACATGGTTATGACAAAGTACGTAAATGACCGATGGGCATAGCCTTACTTTATATCATCTGGTCTGACCTGATCTGGTCGCGTGGTTTAGTCTAGCGCAGTAGCTGTACTCTGCCGTCCTTTACTAAAATCGAACATCGCCTAACAATGTCGGCATCTATAAACACTAACGCAGCTTACGCAATTAAGCGGATTAGCTAAGACCCGACCGTCCGTTTGATAACAACAACCACATCGATGTATAAGGGTGACGTTGCTGCGGTATAATGGAATAACCTGGAAACCGTTCGGCGAGCGCCGCTCATCGATCAGCCGGAGTGTCGGTACTATCTTTGGATATGCCTTTTTTCAAAATGTCTTTTACACAAAAGACGCGCGTTAGATGCAGCAGTAGATTTTAGGCTGTATTACCTCCTACGATTTCATGTAAAGCATAATTGCATCACTGTCCCAGGCCATATATATATATATTTTATGCATCACTGTATCGTATAAAATATAGCGTTGAAATGTTGGCATTTTGTTTATGTAATGGTTCCTTGCGTAAGGGAAGGCAGTATTCACATGTTCTTCTAAGCTTGTTTGTAGATGAAATGGTTACAACGTATATTGTGTTGTCCACGGTTGAATTTGTAAAGATCCAGGAGGCGAGCTGCTGAATTCTGAATTCTATTCAGTGAATCGAATTGCATTAGAAACAACGTATCAACCTGATTGGAACGTGCATGGTAGTAACACGGTCGAGGATTTGTAAAATCTGAAGTCAATGGAGCAAACTTTATCAAGTCAAGTGCAAATGATATGAAATCATTTTTGTGAGCATCAGATTCAAAAATTGTAAAGATTTTAAAGAGCATCTTCAAATTAGTTTATGAATAGCACAATCGGCCATATAGAACATGCCCGCCTATCCGACTCCGGTCCAATTAATCTTATGTGATCGATTTAAATCATTCTAATAACAGAAACAGTATAATACAGTATGGGACAACAGTAGGCATACAGTCAGTGGAATTTAAAAAGTAGTTATTGTATTTTACAAAAATACGTAGCTAAACAGCAATATGATCAATTACGAATTATCAAACATGCCGTGTTTTCTCGAAGCTTACACTTTCGAAAAAAAGCCGGTATACACTCGACAGCATCGATATGAACTGGAAACCTATCCTTGATGAGAAGTAAATTTTTTTCTGTCTTTTAAATTCAAAGTTTGATTCATCCTGTGTATTAATAACATGATCCTATATATTCGTGCACGGTTAGGTGCTCAGCCGCGAGCGATCGGCCTATTCAGCCGAATGTCGAACGAATAATCCACGAAATCTGAAATTAATCGCATAGACGGTATATGTCTCGCGTATCAGACTTCTTCCACTCCCTATTGCTTCGACCTATATTGAGTTCACAGGAACTGCTGTCTTCTCACGGCCACCTCGATTTTGTTGAGCTTACTTTCATATTAAAGCAGTTTAAGTTGCGTACGATTACCGGATGTTGTAGCTTTATATGTTAAAAAAAAAAATTGGCTTGGCCTATCGAACCTTTCAAGCGGAAGTCTTCGATATGTTTATGTATACATAGAAGAAATATAGCTATTATGATTGCAATGTCATGTTAGATAATATGT